CTGGATGGTCTTGAAGGCCTCTTCCAACCTTGATGATTCTATTCTATTCCAAATAATAAACCCTAAGGGCTGAAAAAGCCCTAAAACCAGCTCCAAAACCTTTTCAGTGGGGGGGGTAAGGAGGAGGGCACCAGGGAGCCCCCAGAGTTGCAGCCCCCTCATGGTGAGCTTAAGCAGCCCAGGCTGGGGCCAAGGTTGTGACTTTACCCATCAATCTGCTCCCATCCCTCCTGTGTGCAGTGTCACTGAGTGACCTGGTCTGATGGGTGGCATCCCTGCCTATGGCAGGGGGGCTAGAAGGAGAGGATCTTTAATCTCCCCTCTAACCCAAGCCATTCTATGTTTCTATGAGTTAGGCTTTCCCAGCCTGCAATTCCTTCCTGCCTGTGGCTGCAGGGTGACCTTTCTGTTTTTCAGTGTATGCTTTGCAGAGCACCCTGGCTTGTGAAGTGTTACCTGGTTAAACTGGAAGTGAAGCAGGACAACGCCAGCCCCTCCTGGTCCAAAAAAAGGTACTCTTCATCTCTCTCTGTGGCAAATGGCTCCAAAAAACAAACTGAGTTTGGGCCTGCTGCCCTGCCATGGCTCACCGGCGGAGGGAACTGCCTCAGCTGCTGGACACCTCCTGCTAAAACCAGCCCCCACCCATCCAAACTGATGTAAAGCAGACTGCAAAAACCTGCTTCTGCATTTGCTTTCCATACTTCTGCCTTTAACACTCCTGTTTTGTAGGTCCTAGTCTATAAAAGCTATAAACTTTCTGTGGGTGAAATAAAAGGGAGGGAACCACCATTTTCTTGCATTTCCAGAACCATCCTGGTACCATCAGATACCATCAGGCCCACTGCAAAACCAGGCAGCCCAATAACACGGTGTTAGGCACATGCCAACAAACACAGCCCCTGCCCCCGGGGCCTTCCACGCTTAATCACTCGCAGCTTCCCTGAGCCTGACAGGACAAGTGTCGAGGCTGCAGGCAGGCATCAGCACCACTGGCAGCAGCCTAAAAACCTTAAAAAATGGTGTGGGAGGAAACTCGAGTCCTAAAAATATCAGTCTCTGGCGAGCGCCTGGGAGGGAGCTGTGCCTCCGAGTCACCCGCTGCTTCGCGCTTTGCCTCTCGCTTTCCGTGGGCTCTGCTCCCGCCGGGAGCCGATCCCTGCCGCCCTGCCAGGCTAACAGCCTCCTGTGTCTGCACAGGGCTCGCCTGCCGACTCTGCTCCCTCGGGAAAGATGGGAAAGGGCTACAAAGTGGTGGTTTGTGGAATGGCCTCAGTGGGAAAGACTGCGATTTTGGAGCAGCTTCTCTATGGAAAGCATACTGTTGGTGAGACGTTTTTACTTTTGGGGGGAGGTTGTTTCCTTTTCCAGTGTTTTGTTCTGTGTGGGCCCCAAAACACCAGTAACTGAGGTGAAAGAGAACTGCACTGAAGTGAAGGAGAAAATTCATGCAGTTTTGTTGCATCTCTGGGCAGTTCTTGAAATTTATAGTCACTTACTGGCAGATTTTTAAAAGAGCCTTGGAGAAGAACCCTTTCCGTGATGTTCCCAGTTATAAAACACGTGAATGTTCAAAAAGAAACAAACACAGAAAGTAGGTGATGTGCTTGCTGCCTATTTACATAAGAAATATCTCGTTCCCTGAAGGACGCCATAGATGCCTGAAAAATAAATAGATGTCACATGATGAGTGGAGACACTGTTTAGACTTTTGTTTCATCTTCTTAAAGCTTTATTTTGCTTGGTTTTGGCTAACATTTAATCAAAGCTCTGGCAAGAAAAACAGCTAAGCTTTAGGTTCCACATTCTGTGCTGAACTTTGAAGGCCAAGTGTCTCAGCTCTCAAAGAAATCCTCCTGTGGAAAATAGACTTGACAGTGGAGCAGGGGATGTTTGAGATTTGCTGTGCACAAAAGAAAGGGAACAAAGGCAAAACCGGCATGTTTCCCTCTGTTTCCACATGACTTGGCTTTGAGAGGAAGGGCAATGTTCATTAAGCTGACAAATTATTCCTGCCTCTCCCAGAAACAAGGGGTGGTGGCACCAGGGTTTTGACAGAAGATGCCTAGTCACTATGTATCTTTTTCTTGAGTTGTTAAATTAGACCTTGGTATAAGTTACTGCGTATACACCAGGATTTCTAGAATGGTGCTTTGCAGCACTGCACCTTTAAAATGCGTGGATGGGAGGAATTTGCTGGCAAAGCGTGATACAGAACTGCGTGCTAATACCCGTGTTTAAAAGGAGGATTTCCTCTAATGTTGCAGCAACATCTGTTTCCAGCATCCTACCGAGTGCTATGCACGTAGCCCCGTGTAGTTTTCAACGTGAAGGTTGCAAAACCTGGAGGCTGAAGGTTTTTCCCTGTGCTACCAACCTGCCTCTCCTCTGTGTTGGGCTGGGCGATTGTCAGGGACACCCGAGCAGCATGAGCAAGGCCACGTTACTTAAATCGTATTGCCTTGCATTAATTCCTGCCTCCTATTAGCAACCCAGGCAGGAAGGATATTCGGGTGTTGCTGATCAGAGGAGCTATTTATGGAGCCAGCCATGTACATGATTATACAACGTCATGGATACTGGCTGACATAACCGGAGGGAGACCTTGTGCCTGGGGTTTAGCTGTGGGTGTCCCTCTGTCGCTCCCAAATGCTCTGCTCCATCTTGGCCATTTAGAAATGCAGACCTCCACCCACCACATCTTGAAAAGATCAGTTTTCCTTTCCTGCAGCTAGTCTCTTATTTTTTGGAATTATCAGAAAGAGAGGGAGCAGCTGGGGAGAAAGAAGAAGGTAATCTCCTGGTTTCTATGATTTTGGTCAAATCTTATTCCCAAGACATTCAGAGAAGGGGGCAAATAGTAGGGTCAAGATCAAGATGTGGAGAGGGCTCATTATGGAGCCACTGCAGCACCAAAGGATGAGAGACTGTGGCTCAGTAGTTTTGACGTCACTCGTGTGGGCCATCAGGTACATTTTGGGGGGTGGACTGGTAAATTGGTGGTTTTGGCAGTCCTCCTGAGTGGTCACCATCCTCCCTGCCTCTTCCTCAGTACATGGGCAGTTGTGGCAGAGGGTGCCTGAAGTATGGGCTGGTGAAAATGGTTCTCATAAGATCTTCAACTCTTCTTCCACTCTGTACTGATTTAGCCCTCAAACTGCAGAGGCAGGACACCACTGTGAGGGTCTCACTGAGCAAGGACAGAGTTTGAGGAATGGTGAGTCTTTGAGTGCTTCTTAGTTGAGCTGCTTTAAACTGCACAGACCCACTACTGGTGCTACCATTGCAGGGGTGGCCCTTCCAAGCTTGAAACATGATTACTGGGTCATGATGCTCATTTCCTAAAGCTTGCGAGCTCCAGAAAGCTGACATGTACATTCTGGCTTCTGGCCTTTATGGCAGGAGGCAAAAAAGACTAGTGTGTTTGCTGAAAGCCTGTCTGTTCAGAGCCAACCAACAAGGCAGCTCATCGGGCATGGCAACATGGACACAAGCTGTTTCAAAACCTGTGCTTCCTGACTGACGTCAGGAGCAGCTCTGTGGCTGGTCTGAGGGCTGGGGAGCCGTGGGGAGGACTGCTGAGCCAATGCATGGAGTCTTTCCATTTTGATGGCATGCACATCCTCCTCCCAAGTGACAAGAGGCATGCCTGAACTTAGTTGGAGGCTCAGAGCACAAGGTCTGGTGCCATTCTCTGAAGTGTCACAGCCATTGACACGAGAGGTTCCTCCTGGCTGTAAATCAGCCATGTGTCTATGTCAGTGCTCATGTGCCTCCTGTTGACTTTCCTGTAAAAAGAGTGGAGACACAGCTGCTGTCAGAGAAGTGATTGGAGTCCTTGGAGGTTTAACGCTGCTATGTAAAGCCCTTGGCTTTGAGCCCATGCTCCTGGCTGTGTGCTCGGTGATGTTGCTGTGAACCCAGTTGCACTGTGTTTCTTTACCTAGAAAAATGTGCAACTTTAAGTCTCCCTGGCTTGCCACCGATGAAGTCCCAAAGTGCCACTGTTGCTCACATGGTCAGCAGCTAACACTCTTGCAAAGGCACTAGGATTACTTGAGGTCAAAGAGGAAAAAGTACTCAGGAGAGAGGAATAACTCTGTAGCATGTGAGCAACACTGTGTGGTGCTGGATATTGTGCTAGGCTTTAAACTGCAAGAGAAACTGTTTGCCTTGTGCCCCAGGATGGGAAGAGAGAGGGCAAAAAGATGAGAGATGCTCTCGGAGCCACATAAAATAATGTACATATTGCATGGCAGACTCTCTTGCTAAACTAATACAAGGAATCAGAAGAAAACCTAAACGGAGATGTTTGAAATGGGTGCAGATTTAGCTTTGTGTCATGTAGAGACTATATTGCCATAGGTCAGGACGAATAGTTGTTAAGAATTGCACATATGTATATGATACCTATAAATGCACAGCAGTGTGCCCAGGGGGCCAAGAAGGCCAATGGCATCCTGGCTTGTGTCAGAAATAGTGTGGCCAGCAGCACCAGGGCAGTGATTGTCGCCCTGTACTTGGCACTGATGAGGCCACAACTCAAATCCTGTGTTCAGTTTTCGGCCCCTCACAACAAGAAGGACATTGAGGTGCTGGAGTGGGTCCAGAGGACAACAGAGCTGGTGAAGGGTCTAGAGCACAAGTCCCATGAGGAGCAACTGAGGGTTGTTTAGCCTGGAGAAAAGGAGGCTTAGGGGGAACTTTATCACTCTCTACAACTTCATGAAAGGAGGTTGGAGCAGGTGGGAGTTGGGTCTCTCCCAAGTAACAAGCAACAAGACAAGAAGAAATGGCCTCAATTAATGCCAGGGGAGGTTTAGAATTGATATTAGGAAAAATTTCTTCACTAAAAGGGTGGTCAGGCATTGGAACAGGCTGCCCAGAGAAGTGATGGAATCACCATCCCTGGAAGTGTTCAAAAAACACATAGGCGTGGCACTTGGGGACACGATTTAGTAGTGGGCTTGGCAATGCTGGGTTAACAGTTGGACTTGATCATCTTAGAGGTCTTTTCCAGCCTTAACTATTCTATGATTCTGTGATTGCCTGGTACCTGGGATGGGAAATGTCATGAAATGGGTTTTTGACTGGCAGTAGAAGATTGTCCCACTAAATACCTGTGGTATGTGGCACTGCTTGGCCTGACCTCTCTTGACTAGACTAACAGGAGAGTTGTTGCCTTAACTTTGGCATGGGACATATCTGTAAAAAGGATAGTTATTTTTCCTTAAACAGTGTCCCTGTTCAGTGATGGTGCAGAAAGGAGTCTTCCTTCTGCTTTTACCTCAAAACGTATGGTAAAGCTTTATCAGCTCAACAGAAGGAGATGAGAGCTCTTCCTATAGAACATTTATCTCTGCCTCCTGGCTGTGTAAATAGCTGGTATGGCCAGGTTATTCACAAGCAGCTACTTCAGATCCTCTTACTAAGTAGGAATGAAAACACCATATATTACTGTGGTAGAACCCATAATGAGAGAATTTGCCTCACTTGGTCGAGCTGGAGGGATTGGGGTTTTGGCTTATACAGATAATAAGATATGGAGGCTAATTAACCTAATTATGCATTCATAGAATCATAGAATGGTTTGGGTTAGAAGGGACCTTAAAGATCATCTCCTTCCAATTCCCTTTCCATGGGCAGAGACACCTTTTTACATATTTGCTTCTTAAATTAAAACTACCTCATGATAGAGGTAATAATGCTTTGCATTTTAGAAAGATGAAAATAGAGCTGAATGTATGCAACCGAGGGTCACAACCTGGCTACTTGTTAGCAGCTAAATCTAAACAGACCAGCTCCTTTTGAGATCTGCCCAGCTCTTCTCTGAGTCAGGGATCCTCTGATAGACTGTCATTTGAGACCTAAGTAAGCAAAGCCCCTTATCCTGCTGTTTGCAAACATAAAAAATAGCAGGCTTTAGAAGCTCTTTGCTGAATTCCTCCAGAAAAAGGGAAAAAGAGATTACATAGATCTTCAAAAGTACTTAAGAAGACTCAAAATTTGCAGTGCATTATGTTCAAGATTCAATTGTGAACTCATGAAATTCCATCCATCTTGAAATTTTGATTTACTTTTGTATTTACTATATATCTGCCATGCCAGGCCTGAGTGTGCAGTATTCATTAGTATATTGAGCCTTTTCTTTACCTCATTGGGAAACCACAAAGGTTTGAACACCATCCAATTTATGACTGAGGCTTCCCCTTGCAGTTCCTCTGTGTCAGCAGTTGGTAACATAGACAAAGACCCTTCTGCCTCTCCTAAGATTTGCACCAGCTAAGTAGACCTTGGAGAAAGGCATCACTCCTGTCTATTCCTCCTTCCCCTTCCTAACTTTTTTATACCTTTAGTTTTCAAAGAAAGCATGAGATTGTGCACTGTCTTGTCAGTTCCCCTTCACCCCTGTAACTTCTGAACCCGAAAGGTGGCTCACTGTAGTGCTCTCCTCCAAAGAAAATCTACTCAAGCTGGCAGCAGTCTGCAGGGTGGTAACTTCCCAGCACAAGCTGCCCTTGCCCACCCAGGTAGCAAAGGTGGGAGTGTGCCTGGGGATGCCAGTGAAGGAAAGGAGAACCCCAGGGTTCTTGTGGCAGGGAGGATTGGATGGTGCCAGCACCTTTCTAGGACACTGACACAATTAGTCTTAAAACAACTTGCCTGGACCATATTTGAACGGATACCAGGAAAGTGTTTGAATGGGATGGTACTAACGAGAAGTGTAAATATCATTGTCAGTAAGATGTGGCTAATACATGGTCTGGGCTTTACAAGCAAGGCCTTGAATAAGGTGACACAGGTATTTCTAAAAATTATCTGTGTTTACTTAGGAAATTACTTGCATATACTGCCTCCCCCAGTGCACATAGGTGAAATTTCACCTCTGGAATCTGATACTGGTACATAAATTCCAACTCCCTCCTAAGAGGCCCCCCTATTTCATATCAAAATTTGTTGTTCTATTCTGCTGAGTTAAATCCCAGATCTTAAATTCTCCTCTTCATTTTCAAATAGGATGTTAAAGACACAATTTTCACTGCTGCTTTTAATGCCATTGGGAAGAGATTGCCACAGGATAACGTGGATATATTAGATGTCATTGAATTACAGTGCAGCATTTAGATGACAAAAAACTGTACAACATTATTCATTGCTTTCTAAAAAGAAAACTTAGGTACTTATGGTTCATTCCTTCTTGCCAAAGCTGTATTTACTGATTTCCTTGACCTGTCTGTACAATGCAATGAGGCAGAACAAGAACATAGTGCTATGTCTATACAACAGTGCTATATCCAGAAAGGGCTCCATTACTACCTCAGTCTTTAAAAATACCCCTATAACACATTCTACAACCATACAGAATGCGTTTGTGCTTCCTTTTTTTATTAACCTTTGTTTTGATCTTCTGTTCTTAGTTTTGCTCCCACACATTAGTAGGCTATATTTGGAGGCGAGATAAATTAAATCATTGGAAACCTAATAAGAGTTTAATCTATAAAGACTGCGCAGAGAGGGGCAAAAAGAACAGCTTGTGCCACTTTCCTGCACAGGAATGCTGCATACATCATGGGAAACCATCAGCGTGGGTGGAATGCTTTAGCTTCTTTGTCAATGTGAAGTATTTTGAATAGTGTCATTGAATATAGCAAAATCCTTATTTTCACAGGCCAGATAATCCCTCGTGTTTCCTTAAACAATGCACTAAAATGGTCCCTTTTTGGCAGACAAAGAGAGTAATGCAGGACTCATTACTGTAGCCCTGCAACAGCAAACAATTGTATATAGGAGTGCAGTGGAGGCAAAAACATGGATTGCAGAGGGTTTATATGAATATTTAAAATCAACTCTGAAAGGGGCCCAGCTACACTATACATAGGATGTTTGGACCTGTAGCCTTATGCACCTGCATCCAGGAGAAACACAAAGCTAAGGTGATTTATGTGTTTCTGGGTTTGTCTTGGGAAAAAAAGTCGTTTAAATTAGTTCAAAGCAAGCTGCCTTGAATTACCTCACATTTACTAGGGGTAGAGGAGGAGGGAAGGAGAGCCAGTATGCAGACAGTCACCATGGAACAGGTGATACACATATCAAAGCTTATTACATTGTGCATGCTCTTACCTTGCAGTAAAGGAACTTGCTCCTATTAGCAAATCTGAGTCATTTTAAATCCCTAAGGGATGGAAAAAGCTCACTGTGCATTTGAGTAAATAGAGTATGCAACTTTTTTTGTATGCAAACATCCCCTTCCCTTTCTGGCTTGGTTTCACTTGTTAGTTAGATGTACCACCAATGCACATTCATTCCCAGAATTATTCCTTTGGCTGCTGCTTCTGCAGTGTGACCCAGCTCATTATGCAGCAAAGAAGTAGGCTTATGATGTTAGTACTTGCTATCTGGTGTTTCTCAGCTGTTCTTCCAAAAGGGTATGTTTGGGCAGGCCCTTTTGCAGCATGTTTGGCACAGAACTGCTACACTGGGTGGTTGGAGTTTGGAAAACCTGGAGGGAGAACACACATCTTATCCTATTCTGAATGTGCATGTTGTATAGATTAATTTTACAGGCATAATCATGTGCTTATATATTAGGTGGTTGTATTTACAGTGATGCTAGTGGAAACAGCTAGTGTGGTCATCTATGAATACAACCCTCCATGGGAATACCAGGAAAGGCTGACTCCAGGTCAAGTCACACAAGAAAACATGCACTGAAAGCTGTTATGGGGTAAAATTCTGCTGTCCTGCAAATAATTATTATAGTGGTGCTTTACCTATAGCAGCTGAACTTTCCTGCTTGTTTTCAAACAGGCTTAGAAGAGGGTGCCACAATGGAAGACGTGTATTTGGCATCGGTGGAGACAGACCGAGGCGTGAAGGAACAGTTACGGCTTTATGACACCAGAGGTCTGCAGGAGGGCGTAGAATTGCCAAAACACTATTTCTCTGTTGCTGATGGCTTTGTTCTGGTGTATGCTGTGACCAGCCTTGAAGCCTTCCAAAGAGTTGAACTGCTCAAAAAGGAGATTGATGTCTTTAGGGACAAAAAGGAGGTAAATGCATGGTTGGCTAAATGCTGTATCAGTGATAGGAAGTTAAGATGGCAAAGAATAGATTTTGTTTCTGTAAAACTCGCATACAAAGGAAAATGAATGTACCCACAGCCTTGGGCAACCCAGCAAAAGGAAGCTTTCTCATGGTGGAGAAGTCTCATTCACATGCCATGCAGGTCATTCAAAAGAATGCTTTTTGTTTTCCCTTCCTTATTTCCTCTAATAGAGCTAAAATTCAGTCAGCTGAATGCACCAGCCAGGACACTTATGACTAATAAAACATATGGTCTACAGCAGTGCAGCTCATATGTTTTCTTAGATATTGTACAGGGGAAGTCAAGTGCATGGAATAATATAGCGAAGGGCATTATCTTTGTTTGTTTTGTATTCATGTACTTGATGGCTTGCAAACTAGTGTAATTGACAATGGGTCTCCCAGACATTAGTCAATTGGCAAAGCAGCTTTAATGTATTTTAACAACCATATTGAATCAATTCAATTGTGTGAAATGACTGCTCTATTTTCCCTTAGAAAGCAGCTAGTGTTTTCAGCTGACAGTGTTCCAGCTTAGCTAAACAAATATAACTTGCATGTGGCATTAGCATTATGGCTTTTCCTGCAATATCTTTATATTCTCAAGTAGTTTTCTCTGCTAAAAGTCTTTGGCCTACAGCTTTCCAAATGCCTGTTTTATGCTGTTTGGGAAAAAAAAGTGCATGAAGAATTAATTGGATAATGGTAGGGAGAGACTTTCCAAGAATGTTACTTGTTTTGTACTGACAGCACACAGGGTGGTAGAGGAAGGCAGGCTCAAGTTTGACAGCAGAACAAATGTGTAGTCACAGGAGAGGTATGTTAGCTGGTGGGGCTGGTGTGAGCTGCAGACTGTCACGTATATCAGGGATACAGGAGTCAATCATAAGTCCCCTGCAGGGCAAGAAAAGGTGGACAAGCAGGAAATTTTTCCCAGGTGCTGTGTTTTGTGAGGGCCCTGATTTGTTACTCTACAGCATGTTGTAATGAGGAGAGGGAGTCACAGCTCCAACAGGATCTGCATCCTGCTGTTCTGTGTTACCTGTCAGAACTTCTCTCTCATTGCATGTAGGTATTTTAGAAAACAGACAGTTTGCTTATCCTTTTGTGATTTTGACTGAGGATAACATAGTCAAAAGAATGGTGCCCACAATAAGATGGATAAGTTAGTTTCATTCCTGTGATTTCTAATCCATATAAAGTAGGCTTTGAAGCACAGAAGGTGAGATCAGGAGTCCTATCTTAAGATAGCTGGTGATCAGTGGATTAATTATTCTATGACTTAAAGTTTGGGCTCTGATAGAATGAATCCTTAACTGAATTAGGAATGTATGTGCTTCTGAGCTGGTAGAACTTCAACTTGTTGAGCGGCACAGTCCTCTGTTGTATGGTAGATGACAGAAAGCACTGATGGCTGGTTCCTTGTCTCTGCTGCTGGTAGGGGTTCTCCAGCACGCTTAAAGTCTGGCCAAATTTTACACTACATAGAGGTTGTGTCTGTTATACTGACAGGGCTTACCCATAGATAAATTCAGTTGGAGCATGTGACAAATGCACATGAAGATTATAGCTTCTTTCAAAGCCTTCACAGAGGGGAAAACAAACCCCAAACAGCATTTTTTCAAACACCCTGGACTGCTGTAGAAAAGAAAGGAAGCCTCAGACCTCACAGGAACAGGACAAACGGCTCTAGCTGGAAAGAAACAGAAAACATCCTGGCGTTAGCCTGATGAACAGGAAAGAGCAAGCAGGTGTGGCCACAGCAAAACCCACAAATCATCAGTAAGAGAGGACTTTATGACTTGATCTCCGTCAAACCACTAGTGTAGAGATGAGACCAGAGTCTGAGGACCTTGAACTGTACATGTAGGCATGGTTTCCCCTAAGAGCTGATGCTGGTAAAACATTTTTAGACAATGGTTAGCTTAAAATAAGGAGGAGCAGTAACTTCACATGTCCAGCACTACTTTCAGCACTTTCTAGAACTGAAATACTGGGAAGGCTGCATATACCTACTGGGCTCAGCCACCCTGTACTGTCTCAGTCATACAGAAGTCACTTGGTGGATCCTTACAGCTATGAATCTGACTTGATACCACTGTGCTGCTCTACTTGGCTAATAACCAGCTGCTCTTGAAACTGCTTCCCAGAGGACAGTGCTGGTGCTTATCTGCCCCTTTCAGCAGACTGTCCCTGCTTCGGTCCCTCTGGTGGCTCCTGGTGCCTGGGGCGGGACAGCCAGCGGGCCAGGCTGGGAGAGGGGCCCAGCAGCCCAGCCTGCCTGGGCCACTGGCACGGTTGGCTTTATTTATATTGTGGGCTGGGGCTTGGAAAAGAAACAAACAGGGCAAAATCCACAGCTGTGGGGTCCAGGCTTTCTCTGCTGCCGTGCATTTTTTCATCTCTCAAGCATCTGCTGCTCTGACCTACTCAGATGTCATGCTCTTATCATTTGCCTAGGACAGCTCAATTGCCAAGTAAGTGGAGAATCAGGCTGTTTAACTTTGGATCTCTCTGGTATTGTTTCCCTTCCAAGCAATTGGTGGGGGGAGCAGGGTGGGGAGAAGGGGGAAGTCCTGCATATCCTATGATGAAAACAAGCTCCCAACCCACAAGTAGATGAGGCTAATTCAAATCCCAGACCCTGATCTTCCAATCTACATGCAACTTACCTTGTGCCAGGGCTAAGTTAAAGGACAGGTCTGAACTGTGTAGCTACTTGCCTGCTGTTTAAAAGGATTGTGACAGGTGGATGGTTTTGGTATAAAGCTCACCCTTCTTGTTTGGTTTGCAGGTAACAGTTATTGTCTTGGGAAACAAAACTGACCTCCTGGACCAAAGGCAAGTGGAAACAGAAGCAGCACAGCAATGGGCAAGGGCTGAGAAGGTGAGACTGTGGGAAGTGACTGTGACAGATCGAAAAACACTGCTTGAACCCTTCACCTTCTTAGCTAGCAAACTGTCCCAGTCCCAGAACAAATCAACATTTCCCTTGCCTGGAAGGAAGAGCAAAGGGAATAACTGTGATAACTAGGCTAGCCTAGTATTGTCTCCTGCTGCCAGGTCACAGTCTAAGTCCTTTTTGTGCCATTTGCTTCTTGCAGTTTCACTTAAAGCAATAATCTCATTCAGCAATAAAATCAGCAAGATTATAGCTAAGAGGTATCCTTTCTTCTCACAGACTTGGCTTGAAAAAGTCGCTGGTGGTAAAAACCTAAAAAAGCTCTTCATGAGAGCAGTTATCTTGCAACAAGGGTTATGAAGACAGAAGGGATAGATGGACACCTCTCTATCAGGGGCTTTTACTATGCCTGGATGCAGCCATGTTGAGGGACAAATCAACAAGCTTACCATTAAGCAATGGCCTTGCAGATCTGTAGCCTCTAGTCACAAATAGTATTAGCTGCAATAAAGCAATTTGGAGAGACAGTATGTTTGAAATGGCAGTAGTTCTTTTACCTTGACCTTAAATAGGGCCACAAAGCATACTGATGCTGCAGAAGGCTGAGGTCAGTGTCTTGTTGCAGAAGGGTATGGGGAAGGAGAAATGATTACCAGATTTAGCCACTGATATTATGCTAGTGTCTGGAAGGAAAAAAAACCAACAAAATCATACAAAAACACCCCTCACATCTTCTGGGAAATACTAGACCAGATCTACCCTGACATGAAGCTCATCAGCAAAGTCTGGCAATCAGTGCTTCCAGCTCAAGAACTCATTTGCACAAACCAGAAAAGCTCTCAGAGCACTCCTTAATTTAACTGCAACCCGACGGACAAGATAACTGTATGTGGGTTTGTTCCAGCATGTCCAGTACAAATCAGTCACAGTCACATAGGTGATAATTGTACTGAGAAATTATACAGAGCAATTTTGTATGCAGGAGGTACTGCCTGGGCTCTGCTTAGTGCATTGCATAACACTCCCACCCGGCTGCTCAGCCAAGCTGCAGCAATCCACCCCCTGTACGAAGCTACAGGCCAGATAATAACTGGTACAAAGTGCTGTACTGCTCTGTGAGAGCAGGCTAGGGAGTGTAGGGGGCTGCCTTTTGGGACTATCCTCATGGAAAACACCCAGAAATACCTGTACCAAATGGGTTTGGACTTATCATGCTGCACATTGTCCAGCAGCAGGAGCACAACTGGATGTGCTGTGTTGACTCAGTGCTGGTAAAGGTAAACCTGTGCTGCAGGAATCTGCTGTCCTAGGTCAGCCTGTCAGTAAAGTTAACAAAAGGGGATATATATAGAGGGACAGAATGAGCAACTGTTCCCAGAGACAGTGGCCAGTTTTTGGCATCTTAACAACCTCCTGTACTAAAAGATGCTACCTTTTCTTTATATTTGAAGACAAGAGCAGGGAGAGGGAGTGAACATAAATACCCAGTTCCTGCATTTTTCACTGCTGTTTTGAACAAATACTGAGAATTCCACTGTGAATCAGCAAAACCACAAGCAATATTTGCAGTGTCATATCATAACTGCTAAATAGTGTGCTTAATGATCACAATTAAGCTTATAGTATTGCTCTTCCTGAGTACTGTTTAATAAAGTCTGTCAGCATTACTGATGTCAGAGCAGCAGTACACTTCACTAAAAACGAAGCAGGTATCCCTACCATTATAATAAAGGTAGACGAAACTGTTTATGTGCTTTGCTCAATATGGTTTGGATTGCTGTGGCCAAGGAGTAAGATAAGAGAGCAATTATGAATGAGCAAGCTCCTGCACTGCCCTGCTAGAAACATACAATTGTTTCCATTGCAACACTGCAGCTGAGTAAGCACTACAGCATGACCTCCTCCAACCTGGCTAGTAATAGTCATTGTCCCCAGTGATTCTGCAGGACAACACCCACTACTCACTCATTTCCTACTGAACACACGTGTACTCCAGGCTTCTCCCTGCCCAGAAGACTCCATATCTGCCTGCACGCTTGGGAAGTAGAGGTGACTTCAGAGCAGCAGCGGTTCACGTCCTTGCTGCAACCTCTTACCAAGGAATGGGTCACGTTCCCCTACTTCAGCTCTGCAGAATCCTTCTTCTAGAAGGGACTTGAATTGGCTTTGGATGAATCAAAATATGTGAAGACATCTACTAACATCACATCATCACTGAAGCTCACTCTTGAGCAAAGGGAGTACAGGTTGACAAGTCAGAATTAACTTAAAACGTGTGGAGATGGAAAGAATGGAGATGACTGGTTCCTGTCCAGCTCTGCACGCCGCAGACTCAGTGCCAATTCTACTGCCAAGACTGATGTCACCTGTAGGCTGCCAGAGCTGTGCAGTGGAAGTGTAGCTTGCTTACCTGCTCCCCTGGACTTCCTGGACTTGACAATATTTTAAGACAAGCAAGACAAAAAGGATCTTCCAAGTGACTAAGGCCATTTTTTCAAATAGGTTATATAAAGGCAAACACGTTATCTTTGATTTGGTTAATTCACTAGAAATGAGTTTAGATCATTCAATGCATTCACATAAAAAACCACCACCCACTGTTTTCTTTCATAAGCTTACTCTGATGCTTTTTAAGCACTCAATCTATTCTAAATACCACAGTATTTTATTGACAAGTTATGGAAAACATAGTGTCTCCTCTGCAAACAATGTACATACAGTGGCTGGTACTGAGTGAAAATGAAACTTGCTGTAGTACAGTTTTGCATAGGGTTAATAAGTAAAGTACAGAGTAGTTTAAAGGGCAGAACACATATTCTGTTCTTACTGTTCCACTGACTCAAACCCTGTTCTAGGTCACTGGGATCACTTACCTTCTGCAAAGCTAGAGTCCCTTCATGAGCTAATGGGGAAAAATTGTTAAAAACAAGAAAAATAAATTAGTAAATTGTACTATCTTTCTCTGTTCTTCTTAAACCTCTATCCTGCTGAATACCCACTGTACAGATCAGTCACCCTCACCAGTTACAACAGTTAATTTGGCATGTCCTGGTAGCACAAAGCAAGAAGCTGGCAAAAATCTACTGAGATTTAACCATTTACATCTTTACTCAGTAAAGGAGAGGAGGGAAAGATGACCAGAGATGCTCCTGGTGTGATGTAGCTATATACCAAACAGCCAAACAGCTGAGGGGACTCATACACCTAAACATACACTGTGTCAAAAGACTGCAGTTCAGCTAATGAGGCTAAGGCACTACTACCCACAGCCACCCAGCAAAGAAAAGGGCACCTCTAATTAACGGCTTACTTTGGAGCAAGTTAGATTGGCTCTGTATCTAGATAGGAAGAGAAGTATGTAAATAAAATATATATGGAATTTATTTTAAAGTAGCAACCCAAATCTGAGAGTGCAGATGGCCACGTGGCACCCAGAAGAATTTCACAAGGTGAAGTACTCGCCATGTGAAAATGAATCTGTGCTTCCGGCCTTTACCTTAAGGGAGTGGTCTGAGATGCCATATCCACAACTAACTGCCCTGTTGCTACACACCTCAATGTAAACACCATGTCTCTAGGAGATAATCTTTATAGGTAGTTAAAAGATCTACAGATTAAGTCTCCTTTACAGTGTCTCCTGCTAGCTTACCAGGACACGATTCCTTCTCCTCTTCCAAGTCCAAAGACCACTCCATCAGAAAAGCATCAAGATATTTTTTTCTTCCTTTTACCTCCTGCCTCTTTCCCTTCTAGATTGCTTACACTTTTCCAGTTGTACTTTCACAAAACATGCCACTCCTGAAGAGGCAATGCTAAAAAGTAACTATCATGGATTCTGTGGTATGTTACCTCCTCATGGCCATGTCCCTGCACAACACTTAGACAGTGAACAGCTGCGAAGGTCTTACGCTGTCATTCATTGTATGGTTGTCTAGAACTGTGTTCCCAAAATAGCAGCAGTCAGTACACTCACCTGCAGATCTCCCTTGCCTTAACCATACTGTAATCATCAAAGAGCACTGGGAGACACCATTCTGGCAAAATGGGAAAGCAAGGGACTAAGCAGAAATATTTTCTTTTTTTTTTTTAAACATCTTTTTATTAGCACAGTAACAAATGCAGACTTAAGTAGCCCACAACATACAACCAATCCACTGAGTGACTCCTATTCCACACCTTACAGTTAAACAGCTTAAGGTATTTCACTACAGGTTACCATAAATCCTGATTAAACCCTTTATTCTTTTCACAAAGATAGATTGGCTTATAAAATAATACATTAACTACTTCTCCTTTCATATATGAGGCCATATATCCACCTCTCCATATCACAGATCATGAGATGACAGTCTTTAAAAAGGATTTGTTAAATACCAATGTGACCTCCCATAGGGGAAAACAATGCTGACATCTTTTTACAAAACAAAACCCCCAAAACAAAACCAACCCAGAACAAAATAAATCCCCCAAACCCAAAACAAACAAAAAGCAAAAACAGTGTGTAGAGTCTTGAAAGGACTTTTACATAAACGTCAACCTATGTACCTGTACAAAATTAAGCTGTTTTAATCTTTTACATATTGCAAGCAAACTGAAAACCAAAGAAGTCTAAGAAGTTTACATTCTTCTCGGTACTATATGTGAGCTAATATTGCTGAACTAATTACAGTCTTAGAGTATGCTATTCCCAATCCTAGCTGTCTACTGTAGCAAGATACCTTAAGTTACAACAACAAAATCTTAGGAAATAAAAGACTGAATAAAATCTGTTATAGAAATACCCTACTCTTTACCAGCACCCTCCCTCCTCCCACCCCTTCAAATTCATAAGCAGCTCTTTCCATCACAGACGAATAATGTAAGAGTTTGACGAAAATCCAATTTATGTAGCGTATCTTTTGGTCCATTGTCTGGCCATTCTGTCATGCTCTGCTCTGTTAGTCATATACTGAGTGGCAATGCTTCCAACCAGGGGGTCAGCTGAAAAGGAAATACACTGCTTATTTTAGACGAGTTACCAAATAAAAACTTTAAAATAAAGCTGAACTGTGAATTTAATACAAGGTAAAGTTCACTGTAACAATCTAAACATACTGAATTGATGGTCTGTATCCTCCCTGATTTTGTGTATTTATGGTGATGTACTAATCTATAACTCAATAGAGTGAAATGTCAACAAAGTTTTAAGAAGTTTAAGAGACAATAATCAGTCATAATTTGCATTACTGATAACTTTCACCAATTCATGCATTTCAGGTTTATTTTATTCCCTCTAAAAGCATTGCTAAATGTCTTTGTATCAATATAAACCTGCCTTCTAGGAAAGATTAGATCTCAAGAAGAGGTTCCAATAAGTTCAGCATATATAACACAGTGTGAAATCTGGTGTTTCTCTGATTTTCAGATATATAAAAATACAACCTGTAAAATTGACTTTGAAAACCAAGACACATTCCTCTTAACTAGTGTGGATAGTGGGTGGGTTAGAGCAGCCGTGACAATTACTTGTGGTATAGTTGGTCACTGGTTTTAAATGGATGATGGAAAGTAAGAGGCTAATCCCCTGTTTTCAGAACTGTGTTTGTGGCTCTCCCAGTTCCATTACTGAATCACTGTGACCCTACAGACCAGCAAAGAGTGTTCAACCCTTACCCAAACCCAGGGTGGGTTTGGAAGAGGAAGAAGTTTTCATGTGCACGAGGAGGACCGCTGCTTTCCTCTTGGGTCAGCCTGAGGAGCTGTGAACAGCAGGCTGTTTGGGCAGCTTCTCTGGCTGCCCTGGAGAGGGAAACCTGCTGCTCTGGAGGCTGGAGCCATGCTGGCTGAAGCCATCAGGGTGAGATGAGGGCCATGTAATATTTGGATGCCAGGAGGGGTGCAAGGTGGCAGGCAGCCTGCATGGCCATGCAGGGAACTTACCTGGGTTGCAGTCTGTGAGGAGGGAGCAGATGGAGAGAAGAACTTTAGAAATGGTTAATGCTGGACTCCAGTTGTCTTTTAAAATGTCCAGGCAGATGACGCCTTGGCTGTTAATGTTACAGTGGTAGATCCTTGTCCGGAATGTTACCTGCAAGAGAGGGTTATGAGCACCCGTGCCGCAGGGACAGGCGGTACAACGTGAGAGAGCGAAGCAGCGGCCCCGGGCTGACCCACCGCCGAGCTCCCCGGGCCGCCGCCGCCCTCTCGCGGTGGAAACCAAAAAGAGCCTGATTTAAATTAAAAATGAGTAACAGTCTCAGGAGCCAACTTCCACGGCCACCGCAAAACCCAGTATGTGGGGGGGGGTTAATTTTTTTTTAATTACCTTTTGTGTTTTTGCTCGCAGTGGCAAAGGGGCCCAGGGCTTTAACACCTGCATTTTTCTCCTGCTGGGCTCCCAAGGACTTGTAAAATCCCCCAGACAGGCCAGGGCACTTGGAATCACAGCTTTCATCACTTTTAAGAGCTCAGCGATAGGGTAAATTAGTTGGATTTTCCTATTTTCAAATCTGGGAGACGTGACTGAGCGAGACAGCTTGCCACAGAAGTTACCCGAAAGCGAAACAAAAGCACCATGAGCCAGCTTCAGAAGAACACAATGTGACCCGTAGAGAGGCCTTACTCTGACTTACTGCATGAACAGCAACAACAAATTTGGTGGAACTTACATGGATTAGGATTATGTGGATGAATAAAGGCTGGTGGGTTCATGCCCTAAATCCTCAAAATTTGTCAGCTATCCACACCCACACCGGCAAATTTTATGGTTTGTTTAAAGGTCATGGGGGTATTTACAAAACACACTTGGTAAGCCTGCGGGGTAACAAGAACACACTAGTGCTTCACCTCGACATGAGACCAGCCCACACATAAAACTTGCCAGTCAACCTTCATTTTTTCTACTGCCTTTCTGATGCAAAAATTTTGCCTGTGACCCTCGCTCTCACCGGTTTGGGAAGCAGACACAGGGTGAGGTGACACAGCTACAAAACCCTGGTGCCCGCCGTGTCCCTGTGCACTGAATCCATGCAGTGTTATCAAGAATGCTCCCAATGCACAGAGCACACTGGCTATTTCTGGATTTGCAAAAGCGGTTACTTGTCACACAGGAGACACCCACACTGCACACTTTGTTTCTTGTGAGCTTCCTGGATTTTGGATTAAAACAGGAAGCGAAGGAAACCCCGAATCCCTGCACGTTAGCACATTATGGGTGGGAATAGCAAAATGACTGAAAGAGAGCAGAGATGTGTCATCCTCCCACACCTTCTGCAACAAGCTGCCACTCCAAAACCAAGAACCCCTGCTGCTTTCTACCTAGGGAACCTTAGAGGCATAATAGCAGACAAGAAACCAAAGTGACCTTTGTTTCCCAGATCATCTAATCTTCAGAGGAAAAGCACTAATTACTCCCTACAGTCATGTGGAAGTCCACGTGCATCAGCCTGAGCAGAGGGCGGACCTGCCTCTGCGGTACTTGCCCCAACCCACACTGTTCAGGGCAAACCAGAAGTTTGTGGCATTTGCAGTTGCTGGTGACGGCTCTGCCCTGGGTTGCCGAGCAGCCTCAGCCCAGCCCCAGTGCTTGCTCAGTGTTTCTCTACTTGACCTGCATCCTTGGTCTCCTTCCAAGAAGACTCTAAATGTAAACGAAGTAAGAATTTTGACAGATTAAACACTTCCAGAAGGGGAAGCATGGAGTATTTCCAAGTAGATACAATAAGGACCAAATTACCAGAGGTCAACAGTTCTAATCTGTAAAGACAGAAAGTTGTTAATCCTGATGCTCAGCACAAAAGCTGAATACTCTGTAGGCAGTCTCTCAGTCCAGTTGACTGATAACTGAGAGCAAAACATGAATCCTGTTTGCCTTTAAAAGTAAGACTTACTTTTTAATTATTATTCATGAAGGAGGGGAAAGCAAAAATAAAAGAAGGGACTCCCATATATTGGCAGAACATGCTGGTTCTTTAACACACCGTAAGATATAATTCTTAAGGGATATATCCATGGCACCAAAAGCAGTTTTCTCCAGCTAGAGGAGCTCTACCAAAACACTGTGGGAAAAATCTAAATTTGTTTTCACTTAAAGCAGCAAGTCAGAACTGGGATCGTGTTAGAAACATGTAGTCCAGCTGTTTGCCATTTACAATTTTTGCTGATGGTACAAAAGTCAGCCATGCAGGGAACCCAAATGGAGCTGGAAGAGGGTGAGAAATTGGAGGCCCTCTTGAAAACAAACAAAAATATTTAAAGTAAATGTTCATTACACCTTAAAGGGGAAAAAAGTCATATAAACCTAGCAGATTAAGACCAAAATCAAAAGAAACTGAGCTACTTAGAAGGTAGTAAAGAGAACAGCATGTAGAATAGCAGAAAAATATAGTGCAACTGAACAATCCTTTGGAAATGTCCCACCTGAGATTACATTAATGCAGTAACTACAAAGAGTTAAGCACAGCTTTTGAAAAGACATAAAAGAAGCTATTCTCGACCTTACCCTGAAGTGATAGCAGAGGTTAATTTACACAAGTAGCAGAATAGGAGTGGGTAGAAGGAAGTGGTTAGAGGTTATTAATACAAATGATCAAAGCACACACACCAGGTCAACACAAGCTACTGTTTTCACCTCAGTAAATGAAATCTAATCCAACTATAATATAACTCTTGGGAAAATGTCCATTGTAATAGTACAAGTACTGAACTCTTAAATTCTAATTATACTTGTTTATTGGATTCTCCTAAATCCAGGCCCACCCAGCACGTGCCCAATTCAATTGCTATCTCAGACATAGGCAAAACCAGAACACCACACAAAATGAGAAAACATAAAAAGTAGAGAACAGATTAACACTAAAATCTTCAAAGTGGTATATGGAATGCTCAATACATGCAAAAGAACTCCATTATACATATTTAGGACATGAAAGAGAGTATCTGTCCCTGTATCAGATTTCTCCCACTGAAGTTCCTTGTATTATGCAATGTATTTCCAAGTCAAATTTTAAGACCTTTCATTTCTCCACCCTCAAGTTACAGTAGTGCAGTCCCTCTTTATATCCTTCCAGGAATCTGTTAATATCACCTTCAGCACAGTCCTCTGACTCTCCAAAAATGTTTGTACCAACATACTGAATCAAACTCTCAGCTGGAGCTAGACCCAGTCCTCAAAGGCTGCACCTTTATCACACATTCTAGGATGCTCATCAGCCACACAGCAGTTGTCAACAGTGGTTACACCTCAACACCTTCTCTCATGCATATTCCTAAGGGCTTGGAAGCCTGCCAGGATGACCATTTTCATCTTGCTTTATTTAAGAAAGTAGATCCTTTAATGACATTTCATTTTCAGGTTGTGAAATGTGTTTAACTACAGGCACTTCACCACCGGGCAGCCCACAGGAGGAACTGTCCTCAAAGACTCAAGGAGGCAGTAGAGGTTTTATTCCACTGATTTTACAAGGCTTACCAAGGAAGATTCAAGTGAAACTAGTCCTCTTTCTTTAGAGAGTTTAATCTTTTCAGAGCTTTTAGGCTTTTAAAATTACATTCTTTCAGGCTTTTAAAATGACATTCTACTCTATTCTAAAATTACTGCTCTGCTAGTGCTTATCATCGAAGTCATACACTGGGTTTTGTTTCAACCAGCTGTTTCTTTATTTTTTGCCCTAAAAGACATATAAAGGAGGGCTATGGTAATTAGATTAGCCTAGCACTTCAAGATGACCCACAAACAGTATTTACTGGTCACTACAAGGGACAATCTGAAAACAACAAAATAGCAGGACTAAAGCAAGAGCAATAGGATAATTATATTTTCCACATTACCATTTATTAACACTAGTGTAGATGTTAACACAGAAGCAGCGAAGAAAGGCTCTTTGTTTAAACCTGAAGTACTCATGTAGCACAAGTATCTTCTATTAGAGCATCACTATGCTTTCTCCTATATCCCATCTCAATGTGACTGAAGCTATATTTTATTTCCATACATATAGGTGGTTTGTAAACCAACTTGGACTTTGCTAGATGAAAGACTCCATTTAAATGAGACTGCTACAATACAGTGAATGGCCACTAAACTAGTCTTTTAAAGCCTCATTAAGTGGTGCTTGTTTGTTTTTTTAATCCCACCCTTCTTTTCATCTGGGTGAGGGTTTAGATCCAAAGATAAAGAGATTCCTGTCAGAAGCACAGAGCAGAAAGCACGGCTGAGCTTGTATGACATAACTGTATATTTAGTTCTGCATCAGGGAACTCGGCATATAAGGCTGTCTCCATATCGCCAGTAGTTACAATATGGTCCTGTAAGAGATCCTACCTGACCCTCAAGGCAGAATGTGGGCACTCAGAGAGCAAAGGCTGCAGCTCTGCCTGGGGTGTCTGCACTGTCTGCAGTGGCAGATGCTTCCATCCCGATGCAGCTGCTGAAGGCAGAGGCTGCAGTGCACACCTCAGGCTCAAGGCAGTGCTGAGACCTTTCTCCTGGGGCAGGACAGGCAGCAGATCTGCCTGCAAAAGGTGTGCCCAGGTGGAGGACCTCCTGCAGCAGGTGGTTGAGCTGTAGGAGGTAGTGAGAAGGCTGTGTGGCATCAGGGCTGCTGAGCAGGAGTTGGACAGCTGGTTCCAGGCTCAGTCTGCAGTGGACCCACAGTGAGCAGCCAAGCAGCCAGAAGCATTCCCATCAGCACACAGGGAAGGGAGGGGGGCCAATAATGCAGAAGAATGAAGCTTGCCACAGCAAGGACCTGCAGAAGGAAGAGACTTCCCCTCAAAGCCTGACGTGCCTCTGCAGAATTGCTTTGCTGCTCTGAGATTGGAGAGGAAAGACCCATGACATCAGGAAAGACATGGAACTGGGTAAGGGAGCCCCATCCACTCCCTGCGTAACAACCAGCGCAACTAAGAGAAGGCATCAGGTGCCAGTAGTAGGAGTCTTTGAAGAGGTGCAGAGGCACCCGTGTGCAGACCTGATGTACTCTCTAGAGAGATGTGCTGCTCACCAGAGGCTCATAACAGGGATGTCACAGACAGGCTTCCAGGCCCTGTACAGTCCACTGGCCATCGCCCACTGCTGCTGTTTCACCTGGGCACCAGTGATACAGCCAGGAGCAGCCTTGGCAGTGTCAAGAAGGATTACAGAGCCCTGGGAGCAACAGGAAAGAACTGGTTAGTTTTTTTATCAGTCCTCCTGGTCAAAGGGAAAGGGTTCAAAAGGGCCAGTTGCATCTGGCGAATCAACAAATGGTTACAGGAGTGATGCTCCAGCTGGGTGTTTGGCTACTCAGACCATGGGACTTGCTTTGAGAAACCTTGTCTGCTGGGCACTGATGGGGTCCACCTGCCAGAGAAGGCAAAGAGACCTGAACAAGTAGCTCCTGGACAAGCTCAAACACATAAAACTCAAGAAGTTTAAGAAGGCCATGTGCAAAGTCCTGTAACTGTCTTGGGGCAATCTCAAGCACTCGTGAGACCCCATCTAGAGTACTGCATCTAGCTCTGGGGTCCCCAACATGAGAAGCATGTGAACCTGTTGGAGTGAATCCAGAGGAGGGCCATGAAGACAATCAAGAGCGCTGAAGCACCTCTCCTATGAAGACAGGCTGAGAGGGTTTTTTCAGCCTAGAGAAGGCTACATGGAGACCTTAGAGCAGCCTTCCAGTACCTAAAGAGGGCCTAAAAGAGAGCTGGAGAGGGACTTTTTATAAGGGCAGAGAAAGGGAGTGACAGTTTTAAAATTAAAAAGGTACATTTAGATTTGATACTGGGAGGAATATCTTTACTGTGAGGGTGGTGAGGCACTGGAACAGGTTGCCCAGAGAAGCTGTGGATGCTCCATCCCTGTAAGTGTTCAAGGCCATGTTGGATGGAGCTTTGAGCAACCTGGTTTAGTGGAAGACATCCCTTCCCATGGCAAGGAGGCTGGAATTAGATGATCTTTAAGGTCCCTTCCAACCCAAACCATTTCATGATTCTGCAATGAGTCTGGATAAGCCTAGGGTGATAAATGCTTCTGACCTGTGGCACAGAAAGCAAAGGTGTAACAAAGCACACATGGGAATGAAAAAGCTTCTTCTTTAAATGTGTACTGGGCTCATGACATAATAAACTGCATATAGTTAGTTGGACAATAAATTATTCAATGCAAACTAATAAAAAAAAAAAAAGAGAAACTATTCTAAACTGAATTAAGTTCTAACCCAGGAGAACCATCCATGATGCCAGAGAATCTCCAAAAAGGGATAGACAGATGTCAGTAGGAAAGCACTAGACATGGCCCAAGGTGAACCATGCTGCTTGTGAATCAGAGTCCTATCTTAGGGGTGGAATTTAAGGTCCTGTTGATACTATCAGAAACCCTCAAGTTATGCTAGGAAAAACAGTCAGAAAGTTTCTTTAATTTGGCAAGCTTGTATTGATTTGTCTTGCATGACCAATTAGCACTGTCTCTGCTGAGATGGACTGATGGCCTGAACTATGACAAATCCTTTCTACTGCAGACTAGACCAAAGTCTGAAGATGGGGCAGTTGTCGGCATTTATCTCATGAATCAAACAACTTTTAAGCAGAAAGTTAAACATGTACATAAATGCTTTCAGATACAAGGCAAACACTGAGTGTATACACAACCACCTCTTCTGGTAACCTAACACTCTTCCCATGGCCAAGTATTGGAACCACAAGATAACATTCACTTCCACTGGTATTTGCCTTATAACACTGGAACACAAACACACGGGAAGGTAAGAGCTTCACAAATATAATACACCTACAGAAAGTTTGTTACTGTACAAATAGGTGAACAAGTGTCCAACTAAACGGACTAATTAAATATAACCTTAGTGGCCAAAACACACGTAACTTATGCTTACAGTACCCAAGTGGTTTGAGAAACAAGTATTTGTAGCCTTTCTCCTCTCCTCAAATTTATTTACTTCTCAATTTCCCAGTCCTGTCCCAATGCTTGCACTAATTGCTTTGGACCTCTTATGAATAGAAGTAGAGAAAAAAGAAAACAAGGTCCAAAATAACGATCAAGAGGACTTGAAAAGCTGTTAACATTAGCTAATAGAAACCTGTGTAATGTTTGAAATGGGCTTAAGTTTGTTCTTAAAAAGAATGGCTTCCAAATGGACTGCATTCCATTAACACTGCATTTTACTCAACGGTCAGTTGAGCATTCATGACTTAAGGCATCAGCTACAGGTCTCTTACCTTTGGAGGCTTGAAAGGATATTCTGGTGTAAATGTGATGTCAAGGAAGAAAACACCTCCCTCATAGACTGAACCTGGAGGTCCTAGAATAGTTGATCTCCATTCATAGATGTTGTCACCTTTGGGGCCAGCACTAAGAGATAAAAAACAAAATTGTTTAGGAATATGATTACAGCTCAAATAAATATGACTTCTTACATTCCTCAAGTATGATATGGAAAAAAGTTTTCAGTGTTACTCTTCATACACAACCTGAAGTAGAGACAGGGATTAAAAGTAGATTGAATACTTCCAAAATCTCAAAGATCTTACCTGGACTTATCAGTGTTCCCCACTGCTTAGCAAAGCAAAGAAACTAGGGATGGGGCATAGTTTCCAGTCTCTCTCTCCTGGCCTTTATAAGAGTAGCATTGCCCAGAACTACTCCCAAACATACTACACTATCAACACAACAGAAGAATTAAGTTTCAAGGAACAATTTCCCACTGTATTTCAGAAATGGCTCTTCCTTCTCAGTCTTGATAAAACTGTACCACGTTAAAGACCATACTAAATAAATTAAGGACTTATGTTAATTTCCTTTATCTTGTGTGTTCTTTAAAATTAAAATATATTCCTGCATTATTGCTAAACCAAGGCTCACAGTATAATTGAAGAAGAATACATAATGATGCTCTTAAATTTCTGAATTTTCTACACTTTTATCATTTTGCTACACTGATTTCTAAAATGAGGCTACGTGAACCTAACCCCATTGATATTATTTGCATTGTGGAACAGCTTTTGTAAGGGAATTAAAACAGCACTTTCTCAAATCAGCTTTGTCTAACTCTAGATTCTCCCTAACCTGCCAGCAGCTCACTACGAGTGGTACAAACTAAAGGTGTTGCAGAACTCAAACGTCTGCTTGTGGAAAATTAGTTTTACTGAGATCCTCAGACACCTGTATTCTGCAGTGTGCCATATGTCACATAAGTGCAGCTCAACCAATAAAGCCATTAATGGTTTAGGACTCCATTGCTGCCTCTTTCATTCTGTGCTGCTATGGTAGTATTTTATCTTTAAGACGCAAGAACTGAAAGCTCCCTTTGCATACAGGGAGGTGCTGACACAGCCTTTTCCATCATGGGTGTACCATGGCTTTGGAAACCTCTTCTCCCCTTGTTCTGAAGGGAATGGATCTTAACATTCCTAATATAATGAAAACCAGCCTTGGTCTTCTTTCCCCATTCTTTTAATAAAGCTACTATAAGACAGAAGGATAAAACCAGGCTCTCTTTATAATATAACAATCATGGAGCAGTATTACTTGGGAGGGAAGGCAATCCAGTAAATTCAATATATACATGACAATATGCATTTGATTAAGGTGCAGGGAACCGGAGTAATCGCTAAGTGTTAGTAACAATGTTACAAATAGAAATACGATTGTGAAAACATAAATTGTCAAAGCAACTTCAGTAATCAGAGACATGATTTTTTTCCCCTGCTCTTCACAGTACTGGTGAACATGTTCTTGACAGCAGGGGAATCGGGAGGGAGAAAGGGAATTAATTCTGTTATCATACTTAAAATTTTATTTTCAGATTAGACTAATAATAAAATTTCACAATATGCTGGTGCTAGGTAATTCAACAATAGTGAAGCTATAACTAAAAGCATGCTTCCAGGGGCAGGAAAGCATGTAAGAAAGCAGTAAAGGGAGACAGATTCTCTGTAAAGTGATGCACCAGCCACGAGGGAAAGATTTTTCTCCCCAGAACATGAAACCTTGTGCAGCTCAAGATCAGTACTAAATTAAAGTAAAAGCCATTCTATCCTGAACACTTCTGGCATCCCACTCCACCTTAATGACTTGTCCCTGTCCTATGCAGGTCTATATATTTGGACACTCAGTACTCTCCAGCTACCACTTGTGCATTAGACTGGAAGAGTGTTGTATTTCGTCAGGAAGCTCTGCCTCTGGAAAGACACCAACTTAACTGTGCAAACTTACTGAAAAGGACTCTCTGGGGCACACTCAGCCACCACTCCAAGGAATCACCTCTTTATATATACATTAACAACCTACTGACATGCTGTCATTACTGCAAGTTGCACCAGAGATCATCCTCCCCTCCCTCCCCTAAAGATGGAGCTACCGAGCGGGAACAGGTACTTGAGCTTTGTTAGCACCGATTTACTGTTGGAATTTTCATCATGAGAACTGGCAACTGGGAGCACTTCAGAACTCAAGAAATGTGATGTGTGATTAGCACTGATTACAGCCCTCTGAACCAACGAGAAATATTTCAACATTCTGCATTTTATTTCCAGCTTCAGCCCAAAGGACTGTCAATAAAAAAATCCCACAGACTTAAAAAATAATATATTATCATTTGTAATAGTCTTAGAAATCTCTTGTATCCTATTAGATTTCCAATTAGAGCTATCACTGCACAGAAGTAATATACTGCTAGACCTCCATATTAAGAGTGCAACATCTTTGTTGCACATCAGTAGGCTTTAACAGTGATGTACTAAGCTTACCTTTTAAGCTTTTCATAATTCAATTAACAGAGTGAAACAGCTGTACATGTCCAATTTTTACACATTAACATTGATTTCTTATAAAGGAAAGACTGAAAGAGGAAGAGGCAAGCCAGTTTCAGAGTAGAATATTGCCCAGATTTAATTTAGGATTAGGTAATATCAAACAGCTCATGAAGACCTACTGCTTAATACAAAAGTGACGATGCCAGACCACAGCGTAAGAGCAGTGGCATTAACTTTTGGTGGAGATATCAGAGGTTAAAGATTACACCCTTTGTTTAAAATCCTTGCAATTATCTGCTTCAAAATGAAATTTACTGATGCATAGACACAGGGCTCAGAGGCACAGCTGCCACCTTGCCTGATGCATGTCACCACTGCTCAAATTAAGTGTTTAGATCTACTAATACAACACTTTGAAGCTGTGCAACATATGACCGCTGGGAAGACAATCTTAACCAATTAAATAGAAATTGTTTACACTGCAAGACAAGCGTAGAGAGCAACAACTTTCTGTATTAACTCAGCAGCCCACAACCTCTTCACTTCCAGAGAAAGAAATGAGTAAAACAGCTGTAATGCAGAGTAAAAGATGACATCCAAAAGAAGACTGAAAAGATCCCAACCCATTATTATCCTACCAGGCAGCACGTGTTACACAGTAGTGCACCTGACATCTCTCTTCCTCGGAAAAACAGCGATATACTCAGTGAAGATGTGCTGCACCCACTGTAGCAACTGTTCCTGATCATTCCCAATGATGCTGGCTTATGCTCTGGACAGATGTTATGACAGAAACGCTCCTTGGGAAACTGCACAGTGCCAAGGTATTGTTCAAGGACTACCTAACTTTCCAAGTCCAGAAGCAGGAAAATGCAAGGCATTACCTCCTGGTAAATGCAAGGCACAGAGAAAGTCTCAGCACAGGTGAGACCAGGCTCAAAGTTCTGCAGCGGTCAAGTCCCAACCAGCCTTGTGTTGCTTTGGAAAAACCTGATCTTGCTCTGCCTTCTTGTGCTGGCAGGTGCCATATTCTTTCTCAACTTAAAAACCAAACAGGTAAATTATAAATGCCTGCAGCAGAGGCTGGGGAACAGAATGATGCCTCAATAAATGAGCTGCAGATGCCTTGTGGTATTCAGCAACGGTAAACACAGGGCTGTGCCTCAGAGATTTGGTGTTCGTGGAGGGAACACACACACAGACACACACCCCTTCATGAATTGAAAAGGCTGAAATGACAGATAATCTGCAAGAACACCCAGCCTGGGGCTTTATCGTATTAAGCCATCCAGGTACAACCTCCACCACAGGCCTGCATTATGTGATACCACCCTGATACTCTGCACACGCAAGCTCAGCTTCCTCCTCCACCCTGGCACCCCTGGGCAAATCACTTGAAGTACACCTATGCCATGGAGGGAAGGCAGGACTTTTTGGTGCTCACCACATATAGCTGATGTACAAAAATCCCTGGGAACACACTGAACAGTACTTTCCAGGAGAACGACTCAGAAAGAGTCCATTGTTTATGACAACATGCTAGTTTATTTGGAAACTACCTGGTCCTTTCTAGTGGTTGACCAAATGATAATGTAAGTGCTCCCTTTAGTGAAATTTCAGGCTGGCAAATACTTTAGTTCCTCTTCTTTGAGATACAGAAAACACACAATAGCAGATCACTGCAGTGATAAATAAATCAAAACCGTACAGACACTAGGTTAATACCCTGATATATCAAAGCAGCATATATTCCTTTTAAAAGCTGACTAATTTAGCAGAGCAGTTAAAAAGTGCCAGAGACTGCTATCCATCAGGGTGATAAGAAGTGCAATTTCATGTTATGCTTAAGGAAATAACAGCTAATGAAAACCTACAATATGTTTCAGTTAAAACCACAAGTAACAAAACCACGAACTCATACTCCAACTACTTCATATCCCTAGCTGGTATTTTTGAGGCTATTTCGACCTGAACATGAAGAGCCTGATGCAAGTAGCTAAGCTGTTTTGAAGTTGCACACTTGGGGAAAATAAATATAAATTCTAAAAACACTGCAGACATGACCTTTTCCAAGGGACATAGCTCAAATCAGAAAGCAAACAACATACTAAGGCACATGGGAATTCCAAGGTGGCAGAGAATCTAATGATCTCCAAAATAAAGCTGTACCATTACAAACCATGACAGCAACATCAATATTTTTTTTCCTGTTGCTTTATTTTGTAGTAAGAAACAGTGAATGGCTGAACACGGAAGTGCATCTTGGTTATGGACTCATCACCTACTAGCTTTGGGAAATATTTAGTTGAATGTTAGGTCTCTTTCTTGCCCTTTATTTCCTTCCCCCTTTCCTTTTTTTTTTTCCTCCAAAGATGCAAGCCCAAAATGCATTAGAAATTTTGACTGCCAGCAAGGCAGCATATCATTCTCACATGAAGTTCTGGTGCACCTTGATTTTCCTTCCTAGTCCACCCCGTTCCTGACCCCAGGCTAAATATGTTTTTTTTTTTTGCTGGTAGCTCACTAGGTGGGTCCACACTAAACTTGCTCACTTACATTATTAGGCTGAATCTGGTGCAGAGATTGCAAAAGCACCCC